TTTATATGTATAAATAGAAATATATGTAAATATTTAAATTATTGAAAGATGAAAAATATATGCATTAAGGCTTCCTGTGTTTTGAGAAGCATATTATATACTATTCTGTAGGAAAAGAACCCTACTAAAATTTATTTAAAAACATGTTAAAAGAATGTTCAGTTATCTCAAAAAGGCAGTTGCTTTAAACATAGTCATACTGCAGTGCTATTTACTGTTCTTCATATCTTGTCCACTAACTAAAAAAAAAAAAAAAAAGGGGAGAAATACACTATAAAAGAGTATTTATGTACTTTTTAATTTCCTAGAATAATTTATTTGCTGTCTTTCCAGCTACTGCCTTAGGACTGGACTTACATAATTTACAGCATCATAAGCCTTTAGCTGTCCTACATAAATGAAAAGTTAGACTAGTAAACAGTAGTAGATGTGGTAAGCACTTGCAGTTTCTCTCTGGAGGCAGCTTTACTGCAGTCAATGAACACACTTGCTTGAGAGTGTGTTGCCCACACAGCTGTATCTATACAGATTTCTGTTGTCCCATAGCATTGAAGGACCACAGAAACAGGTTCAGTCTAAAGGTACCGAACACTCTGCAGTTTCCCTTCCCTCCACTGATCTAATGACTGGTGGTGCTGGGACATTCCTGGAGCGTAATGTGGCTGGCGTGTCTTGCACACTAAGCAAATGCTAAACAAGTTACTATGTAAAACCTCATCAAGTTCAGCTACTTTTGGATGGGTACTGTAAGCACAATTTAAATTTAAAGTCTACAGCAATGCTTGACTTGAAAAAAGTATAGCCCGTAGCCCGTAGCCTGGTTTTAACTTGTGTTCAAAGTATCTTTTTTTTTTTTTTTTCTTTTTTGTATGATTTTAATTATTTGTGAATTTCTGCCTTGTTAGTACATTTTCAAGAAATATAATTTAAAACTGCAATGTCTGAAATTCTTCTGTAATTTGAACAGGTAAATATTGGAAAAATGGATTCTCCCATTGAGAAATGGAACCTAATAATTGGCAATTTAGCCTTAAAACAGGTAAATATAATGGAATTATTTGATTCACTCTTGTAAATGAGCAAAGTTATTGAAAGAGTCCATCACAAATGTTGGTAAGTATGGAGATAGTGTTAATGAGAAACTAGCTCTACAACACTGGCTTATACTTAATGTACAATGTTTGCATGACTAGTTTTTTTTTGAGCAGTGTAGTTCTCTGAAACAATATGAGCTTGTATTTCAGAAAAATGGGTAAAATATTCTTTGTGACTGTACTAAAGGTATTTCTTTTTTAATTTTTCTGAGAGGGGATCTGAGGATGGTTAGAGAAAAATTTCAGACTTGGCAGAACCTTTTAAATTTGATCTCTCAAATGTTTTCTGTACTGTATTTGAATTGGATTCAGTGTTTAAAGGAAGGATGTGATGGATCTTTGGGATAATAAACAACATTTTAAATTACTTGAGTCATTTGAGGAAAGGAGTGTTTGATCTCCAAAGCAATTATTTCTTAAGATTAAGAACTACTTCATGTTTGTATGTTATAATACAACATGCTCAAAAAAAAGGTGAAGTGTTTATGCTGTGTCTTCACTAGAACTGGCTTAGGAGCTTCTTTAAGCATTTCAACTTTGGCTCCTAGAATATCCTCTTTCTCCTAATCTTACTTTTGCTATTATTGAGTCTCTGAAATGGTGCTAAAGCCTCCTCTGCTGGCATAAGAGTTTTATTCTTGATCATCCAAGGTTATCATCATCTCTACAAAATGGATGAGCATGTTCCCTTTATAGCTTGCTAATAAATGGAGATAGGAGGAAAGAGTAACAGAAAATTATTCCGTAGTTCTCTTAAGTATATCAATTATTATAAGATTTTTTTCACCTTCTTCTTCTTTTCCAGGTTCAGGCAACAGTAGTTGGTTTTCTGGCAGCAGTGGCAGCAGTTATATTGGGCTGGATTCCAGAGGGCAAATACCGCTTTGATCATTCCATCCTTCTGTGTTCTAGTAGCGTAGCAACTGCCTTCATAGCTTCTCTTTTACAAGGTAAAAGGAGTATATATGTTACTTTATACAACTCTTTGGTTTTCTGTGGATGTTGAGTGTATATTATGTTGATGTTCCTTAAAAACTTAAATGCGGTAAGGTGCAATACATCTGAAACACAGCTCAGGGCAGAATGCCCTTTTGCAATTGCCATAAAGGACTACATCTTGCCTTCCTCTCCTGTCTCTGAAAAGGTTTGATTGGCATCATCTCCTGAGCATACCTAAATTAAAAAGTATGTTTTTTAGATTTTCCTGATATGATGGAGAACTTTTCTCCCCTGCTTTCTATATTCATTAATGTACAAAATATATTCTTAGTACTAAACAGGTAGAACTTAAGTTGTAATTAAACTCAGGCATGCCCAGTTGTTAGCTCAGCTGAATCCAAACTTCCTGGCTACCCATGTTGCTTTTAGGTTAGTTTGTGTTCTGCTTTCTATCTGGAATGAACAAATCGGCTTGTTATGTGGAGGGTTTGGACCAAGTTCAAGTCCCACTCTCCAAACAGTGCCAGTGTCTGTCTGGAGCCATATAGCATGATTAATTAAATCTTCTCTTCCCAAGTGTCAGGAAAAATTTAACAATAAAAAGATGGTACTTAATGGACATGAGGAGGGAAAATGTACCTGTACTTGTGACATAATATAGATTCAGTAGTCTTTAATAATAGTAAGTTGAATCAAATGTTTAATGTTTTGGGGTTTTTTGACTAATTTGATATGCTTACATCTGTGAAAATTACAAAATTGTTGAAGTATAGCATGGAATTAAGAGCACACAGTTTTTTTTAGTGACTGCAAAGCTGTCGAGTTTGATCACAGGGCAGAATTAAGAGCAACAAGAGAACTGGGGAACACGAGTGCTTTCTTGTTGCTTCTCATGTATGATTTGGACACGAAGAGAAAATTTTACTGTTATCTGGTGGTGGGCCAGCACAGGAAATTACTTTATAAGCTTCGTCCTCCTACGTGTTAAATATATTTGAAATATTGTGATCCTACAGGGTCATTTCAGTTCTTTCTTTGAGAATTTAATGGAGTCTAACTCTTCAGGCAGTTTTTCTGCAAGTGAACTCCTAATGTAGCCTACAATACATAATATTGCTAAAATACACGAAAATTATAATACCAATTTTAAAAAAATTCTTTAAAATAGCATAAAGGATGGTATTCATAGTTGGAGCTCTTACATGTATTGTATGATGAGAAGGAAATCACTCAAGTTATGTCAAAGAAGACTGTTAACAACAATGTGGATTTTATTTTTAATCACTTTTTGCATTCTGTAGGGCAATGAGTCTTAAAAGGTGGTGTTGCTGTTAGTAAGAAAAAAAAAACAGAAACCCACATCCTCAATTTAAAACATTTTATCTGTATAGCAAGTAACATTTTTATATCTTGTCTAGTTTTTAGTTTATGATGTATCTTCTTGACTTTTGGTCCCAAGTCCATGGCTGGAAACCTTGCACGATATTCTATGTTGTTTTCAGCTGAGTGTAATTTAAATTTCAGTCAGCTAAAGTTAATAGGCTGTAGTAAAAATACACTGCATATTTTTTTCTTTCGAAAATGGCTGATTTGCAATTTCAGTAATGCCAATTCTAATCATAAGCAAAATACTCTCCATTGTACAGAGGGTTCTTGATTTTTTCTTTTCGACTGTGCACTTGCTGTATTGTTTTAATATATAATGTAATTATTTAAAGTGGCTAAAATTTAAAAACACAGACATCAGTCAGGTGGGAAGAATAATAATCCTGGGACAAAAGCACTAAATTCTCACTTACCAAGTTTGAAATTGCTATTATCGTGGAATTTTCTGTGGAGTTAAAACAGTACATATGGTTACTGTACTGTCATCTCTGTTAAATCCAGGAATAATAATGGTTGGAGTTATTGTTGGATCAAAGAAGACTGGTATTAATCCTGACAACGTTGCCACTCCAATAGCAGCAAGTTTTGGAGATCTTATCACTCTTGCTATACTAGCGTGGATAAGTCAGGGCCTTTATACTTGCCTTGGTAAGTATGTTTCTAAGTGTATATGTCTCCATAGGAATGTATTTTGGGTTAAGAGGGTAGAGACAAGGGAGGGAGGGAGAGGCTTAGAAAACCTTTTAATTTGACTGACTTCTTTGCCAACATTTATACCACTGAATGACAAATCTTGGGTTGCAACATTATACCATGATCTTTTTTAAGTTGATAGAAATCACTAACCACAATCTTGGCACAATATACTAGTACCTGAAAGATTCTCACAGTATCACAGTCAATCTTCATGTGAATTAGCTGCTGAATTTATTCTGCTTTCTTTGGGGGAAGGAAGTTGTCTTTGTCCACGTTTTCTTGAATGCCTACTCCTAAACCAAATATTTGCTTCCCAGAGACTTTTGAAGAGTTCTCCCCTTGCACTAAGGAGAAGGAGTTCAACTGGCTGTCTTGATCAGCTTCTAAGAGAGAAGTTCTGCTTTGAGAATGTATTTTGTTAGGGTGTGGTTTTAGACAACGTTCAAACATATCTTGAGCTGCAGCTGTGCCCAGAAATCAAAATAACATTAAGTACTTTGAGTAACAGTAGCAAGTCTATAACAAGTACGTATTGAAAGAAGTGAAACCTAATTTTAGATAGGCTTGTGCTTTCTGATTGTTAATCATAGAATCATAGAATCATAGAATCATTTAGGTTGGAAGGAACCTCCAAGATCATCAAGTCCAACCACCGCGCCACCAGGGCTCCAAAGTCCTCTGCCAAAACAGATCAGAATCTGTCAGGGTTGGAAGGGACCACAAGGATCACCCAGTTCCAACCCCTCTGCCATGAGCAGGGACACCTCCCACTAGATCAGGCTGCCCAGAGCCTCATCCAGCCTGGCCTTAAAGACCCCCAGGAATGGGGCCTCAACCACCTCCCTGGGCAACCCATTGTTACGACTTTTAAATCATTTACACAAAGAATATTGTGAGTTTCCTGCTGATTTCTTCCAAGTGCTTTCCAGCTCCCACTGAATTACTTCCTTGTTTCCTCATCTTCCGTACTCCAGCTTCCAGTGCCAGTTTCCTTGGCTTTTTCCTATCTGTTTCACTCACAGTGTGACACTTCCATGTCTCTGTCCTGTTCTGTGTGTCTGTGCTTGATTTTACCAGCCTTTCCTACTGCTTTTCAGTAAATGATGCCAGCTTCTCCAAATAATGGCCCTACTTCCTTCTGTTTTCTTTGTTTTGCTTCCTCTTACAAATTTGATGACTATATTTCAAACATAGATCTGGTAATTTATTCCAGAACATCAGTTCTGCCATGAGAGTTGAAAATGTATAACCACTCTGAATAGCTAAGGAGCAAAGGAGAGGCTTTGCTAATTACTGACGACAGAGGGCAACGATCTAACCCTGCTTCATGCATGAATTCTGTTTGACTTCTTGATGACACATTTTTACTGTTCACTTATTCTCCCACTAATAGCTATGAACAAGTGAATTACATATAAACAGCTCCAAATTAATTTTCTTATGAATAATTTTTTTTTTTTTTTTTCAGTCTTCTCTTCTGCTAGTTATTTGAATGTTTCTATGGTCCCTTTGAAACTGTTTTTCTGATTTCTGGGACCTGTACTATCATAGAATCACAGAATGTCTGGGCTGGAAGGGACCTCCAAAGGTCGTCTAGTCCAACCCCCCTGCAATAAGCAGGGACATCTCCAACTAGATCAAGCTACTCAGAGCCTCATCCAGCCTGATCTTGAATATCTCCAGGGATGGGGCCTCCACCACCTGTCTGGGCAACCTATTCCAGGGATCTATCACCCTCATACCGAAGAACTTTTACCTACCATCTAATCTAAATCTACGCTTTTCTAGCTTAAAGCCATTACCCCTCGTCCTGTCACTACAAACCCATGTGAATAGTCCCTCCCCTGCTTTCTTGTAGGCCCCTTTCAGGTACTGGAAGGTCGCTATAAGGTCCCTCCGGAGCCTCCTCTTCTCCAGGCTGAACAACCCCAACTCCCTCAGCCTGTCCTCACAGGAGAGCTGCTCCAGCCCTCTGATCATTTTTGTGGCTCTCCTCTGCAGATGCTCCAACAGGTCCACATCCTTCTTGTGCTGGGGCTCCAGAGCTGGACACAGTCTCAATCCTACTCTCTTAAAGGAGCAGACCACTGAATAAGGTTCATCATCACAAAGCCTACTAAAAATGAACATGCCTATAATTATTATTAGAAGCATGGTCAGAGAGCAGTTGATGTAATGAAATGCTTGCTTGTCACAAAGGACATGTAAGCTTGGAAAATGAGAATGAGGAGCTCAAAAGCCACTCTTTTTCTTTCTGTTTCTTCATCTCTCTCATGAAGAAAAAAAAGTATGAAAACATCTTCTCACAGAAGGTGAAGAAAGTTCAGAACAATTTGAATTTTTTTTTAAATTTTAAATTTTTTAACATTCTTTTATTGCTGCAACAGACTCCTTCATAAAAACAATCTGAAGTATTTTTTTTTCTGTATATGAGCTTTAAAACACATAATTGTAGATAATTATAGTATACTACAGGCCAAATTTTGTCTTGTCAGTAATTGTTTACCAGACATGTTGATATCACCACATTTATTCTTCACATCTTTGTTCACCATTTAAGCCCTTTTATGTAAAAAATGGAGCTGTTCTGTGTAAGTATTACAATGTCAGTCAGAAAAAGTATATAAGACTCAAGCTACCTTGGTGAGGCTTGCCATTTTGTTCCTTAGTTTTCAACTGGTGATTTTATATTTTCAGTATTTTAGTTTTGTATTTAGAAAGTGTTGATGTGATGTCACATTATGTGTATCAGGGCTCTATGCAGCCATTTTTTCTATTTTCTGTATTTTTGTTAAAACTTGTATTGTTTATGTTTTTTTAAAAAATTGTGGCCACAGGAAAAGCTGGTATTCTAACATTAGCTGGATTTTAATACTGTCATTTGTAAATGGAATACAAAATCTGCCATTTGTAAATAAGCAACACATATTATTTTGTGACTATATCTAGTACTGTTTCCTACACTTTATATAAATTACAGTTTATATGTTTCTTTTTTTTTAAACGAGTAACTTATTACTGCTAATATTTCAGTTTCTCCTATATCATTTTTTTTGTCCTTTTTTCTTAATCTAAAGAAGCCAAAAAGATCCACTCAGCCCCAAAAAAGAAGACAGAGAAAGAAACTTAGACTTCTTTCTTCCTTACACATATTTCCAGAAATTTACATCTCTAGTTATAAATGGTGTAATATATCTCAGGAGAATTAAAAAAACAGAAGTGGGGTCAGTTTGAACTGATCCTTTGCTACTTTTACAGCTGTCATGGCCACTCACAATTTAGTCAGCCACCACACCTAGAAATCAGATCCCTTGCATGTGTAAGGGGAAGGACTAGTGCACTCAAGTATGCTTCTAGAGTTACTCTCAATTTTCTTTCTCTATGTTTTTCTGGAAATACTTCTAGTTTGGTGATATATGTAAATATCCAGTTATTACCAAAATGGCTGTTTCTGCTCATTAAATTTTTTTTCATTGTATTTGTATTTCTTTCTTTTCAGAAACAGTGTTTCTAAAGTAAGCACATAGCTCAAAGCCCTTGGAAATGTGTGGTTTCTGAGATGCATATGTTTGAACTATGAAATAGTAGCAAGAAATAACAGTATGGAGTAGCTTCAGCTCAGGAGATGTATATAAAGTTGTAAATGGCAGGGAAAAGGCATTCAGAAAATAATTAAGCAACAAGTTAAAAAAAAAGTTAAAGATTAACTTTTTCATAAAATACATGACTGGGATGTGGAACTTACTGCCATGATCTATTAAGAGGACCAAAGTGATTTTAGGAAATTATTTAGCTAAATTAATAGGAGAAGAATCCATTGCAAAGTATTGAACAGACAGATGCAGACAGAAACTGAGTGATGAAATCCCTGAGGCAAACTGCAGCAGGATAACAGAGTAACAAGTCCAATGGGAATGTTATAAAGAAACCCACAGTTTATGGGATAGTAACGAAGCAGGTGGGATTCACCTCTGAACTATGTTCTGAATTAACTATTTCCCCAATGATTTCTTAGCTTAACTACTCAAATATACCACAACAAAGTGTAAGTTTCTGACTCTTTTCTGCAGGGGAAGGGTTGTTTCCAGATAGTAAGACTGGAAGGGGGAAAATACTTATCTACAAGCTCTGTTTGTCTGTAGCAGAGCTGTACACCTGCGTTCAGCTGTGTTCATCCTCTCAAACTGTATTAGTTTCAGAGGATGGTTCGTGACATACCCAGAAGAGGCAGGGGAAGGGACCATAGTATTCTTACCTAGGTTAAGGCCCAATGAAACATCTTGTTTGGCTATTATCATAGACATAATTTCTTAATAGTTTATTTGAGGGCTTTAAAAATAATGGCAAAGCTATCAAATATGGGGATTTAAATAGTAAAAGATTAGCAGTTTTTACTGTCTTTGCAACTCCCCAGCAAGGGCTGTCTGCGAGTCGTTGCTCAATAGCTGGGGGAAGCACTAGAGGGCCCCCCAGGACCGCCGCTGGGACCCGGCTCCTGTCCTGCAACTGAACACGGGGAATGCGCAGGGGGTAGAAGACCCGGTGTATTAAACGGGGAGATCCGTGTGGATTGTCATTTGTTAATGATGATATGAAGAGTTCATTTAAATTTTCCCTTTTTCCTCACAGAACGTGGCTCAAATATACACATTTCTTTCTCGTGCATGTTGGATCTGGGTTGAGAAGACAAGTTATGTGATTCAGGTTATTATTTTCAGGTTCCTACCAGTTGCTTTGAAGTAGTGTATTTCCAATTTACCTCTAATTCCTACTAGAGGTTGATGTGTTTTCAGTGGCACTGTGCTGAACAGTCTGTCACGGCAGATATCTTGCACAAGAAATAAAAACACTGAGAATTCTCTGAACTAGAACATTAATTTATATCACTGTTTATGAAAGGGATGAGGGCTTAAAGTAAATGAAAATCAGAAAGGACTAGGTTGCGAATCTTGTCTCCTTCCTCTTGTCTCCTTTCTTTCTTAAAGTCACAGTTCATTGAAGAGTTGCATGCGTTTAGGAGCTGATCTTCCACTGTGGGATGGTACAAATTCTATAGCAGAGCCAAGCTGAGTAAGATTCCTCTTATCATGTATGCTACCTGCTATAAATATATCAAAAAGTGAGTGGAGTGAGCCCTAAAAGAGGAGAAATTTATTTTCTCTTCCCATTCTCCAACTATTTCAGGGTACATTTACTCCTGTGAGCTAAAGAGGAAAATGGCCCACTCTTCCTTAAAAGATGCATCTCAAGGTTAACATCTTTTTAGAATCTTTTAGTAAGGTATTCTATAAGTACAGCCTCCCATAGCTAAAAAAAAAATAAGCCTGCACATTGTTGCTAAGAGTTAGACTGGGGGTGAGTGGTTTCACACATCCTGTAGGCAACTGCAGGCTATCATTGCCCACTTGTGACAGATTCTGTATTATAATTCTGAACTATTAATTGCTTCTATAGTTCAGTTTTTATTTCAACTTATTAGACATGCAATAGAATTTGAGGTTCTGTCAGGGAGCAACTATGTTGCCTTAATTTTTACATCACCTTCATCTTGAAAAACCTGTGCAGGGTAAACTTCAGCTGTCAGCAGCTTTTCTAAAATTTGTAAACAGATTAATATGTATACTTGTTTCCCTCCTTGTTTAACAGCAGGAGGATGGATGCCTTTTTATTTGTTTATCATTCACACTAGCACTTTAGAACAGAGAATCCCAATAAAGTGCTAGCATATTATCATATTAAGAAGGCTTTCTTAAAAAAAAATATAAGCTCTGGCTGTGTCCTGCCCCTGGAGTTTCCCCACTCCTGAGAGCCACTCATGCCTCTTGTTCTTTTCAAAAAGAAAGTTACAACAGTATTGCAGCTATGGGGTAGCTTTAATAATTTATGTCCAACTTGAATAAAGGACTTTGGTATAAAACCTATTTTGTAAATTTTCTCTGCACTTTTCTCCACAGTGAAATTTGAAAGTCATACCTTAGGGTGTGAAACAAGCACTGGTTGCATTTTGGTTTGTGTCATTATCTTTTATATCACTACACACTTTGGTTTTATTGCTATAAACCATTTTCACCCTCTTGAAGGTCCATCTAACTTTTGCTTTGTTTGCTGTAGAAATGACAGCTTGTGTCATTTCATAGATGCCTATCTCCTTGATTCCTGTAGCTGCTGTTAACTAACTTAAAATATGTAGAATTCAACTAGTGAAAAGTTTGATAACCAGCCTGGTGTTAGTCATGTTTTCTAAACATGGGGTTAGTCACGTTTTTGTAAATTTGTGTTTGCTTTTGACTACTTGCTACCTTCTGAAATGGCCCTATTGCATTGCAGGTATAACTTCTATTTATTTTGGCTATAATTCATGAATCATTATACACTAGCAAGACGATAGATAGACGATATCTTTTATTTTTTTTTTCTTTTCTTTTAAACTTACAAAACTTTTCTGTGGCACAATGGCATGTATGTATATTTTATATTTTACATAGTTATTATGTATTTAAACATTACCTATTAAATATTTCTTTGTTAGTATTCATTGTTCATTTGCTGGACTGATTTCAATTTTCCTATGTGCACTTTTCTTTTCAGAAGAATTGTATGATATACTTTATTTAATTTTAGTGTTCTTTGTAAAAGATGTAATTTTGTTTTCATTTTAATTTCCTTTCCTATGTTGGTGGAAGTCCTGTGGGTTGATGGTTGATGTACAAGTGAAAGAATTTCAAAAATTAGTGATTAATTAGGGTAATGTTCACCACTGCAGCTATATATTGCTGTTCAATGTCTTCTTGAAACAGAGGATCTCTGCTCACCAAGAGATTTTACTTTTTAATAAAATTGGCGACCTCTCAAAAAAAGTGGCAAAGACCTGGAACTTATTTTGTGCCCTTTTATATTTTAATAATTATAGTGCATTAGAGCTTTTCTCTCATTCTGACCTTTAAATCAGTTATTTGGCATCTGGTACCTACTAAAGTGGAGGAAAGAATGTGTTTACCTGGGCAGTAGTTCAAGAACTTTACATCAGTACATTTTTGTCTTTATAGTTTTGTTTTACCAAACTTATAAAAAATATCAAATAAAGGAATCTTGTATTTTGTATACTCTTTTGAGTAAGAACCCTTTATATTAAGCCAGAGTTAACAGAAAGAGGAGAAAGGTAAAAAAAAAAAAAAAAAAGACCACAAAGGAAGGAGATAATATACTGTAGAACAGTTAGATAAGGAAAGGAAAAAATTGCTCCTCTTTTGGGCTTTGCCTCCTTCACGTTCTAATAGCTTTCTGCTTTTAGCTTACCCAGTGAATGGTGTCCTACTATCTTTTCTGCTGGTTCTGCTGCAAAGGTTGTTACCAGTCAAAGCAGAAAGATAGTAACTTCTACAAACTCCACAGCAGTTCTTCCAGGAGCAATTTTAGCTCCACCAAGATAACATCAAAGCAGTAATTACTTGAATTTGCAGCCTTTGTAATCAGCCATAATACATGGGCACGAATGCTTTTTAAATATGCTAAATATTCTTCTTTGGTAAAGTGTTTGTGTGTTCTACATTAACTACATCAACCTGCTTATCTAAAATATATTTTGCATTAAGGCTCGTCCAAATTGTGATATTTTAGACAAAATTAATTTAACGTTAAATGCCTGACTACATTTCTCTTAAAAGTGAAACAAAAAAAGTTAAATCTTTGCATAATTTGTATATGTATATTTGCTATTAGGATAAACTTTTCATTATTTACTTCACTGTTGAATTGGGAAGTCTTGGATCACTGTAACAGCGTCTGTGGATAAGATTATAAAACAAGTAATCTGAAAAAAATAGCACTCTTTCTGTGGAGACAGCTGTTTGCCTTGTAAGCTCATCTTTATGATGGTACTTACTGGTGTTTGCAGTTGTACTCCTGTGAAATATGACACAATTCTGATGGATAAGTGCAGGCAGCAGAAATGTGGCTATGAATTTTCAGACTCATACCACTTATAAAAGAACTGAGCTACTGATATAAATGTCTCTGGATTACACGCTGTGTTTGCATCATTTTAGATATGCTATTTCTGAGTAAATTACCATATTATATGTGCTTTGCCAAGAAATGGGGTGTACATATGCTATGACTTATATAAGCAAAATATATTTTCAGTATATTCAATTTCTTTCTTTTTTTAATAGATATATTACAATATAATGTTTTACATTCCACATTGTTATTGAATTTTTATCATAAAACATCACACAAAAATCCTCTTCAAAATTCCTTCTTTGTACAGATAGTTCTGTCCTTGTGAAGATTTGAGACACAGATGGCAGACTTTATCTTGTTGATTGTTATTCCGTCAACAATAAACCATACTGTTTAGTGCAGTAGTTGAGACTTTAGGTACAGTAGTGTTAAAGATTATTAAAATTCTTCAATCACATGATTTAGATTATAATTTATTTTAGAGTTCTCTATTAGGAAAAATGTACAGGAACAACTTGAAAGTAAAATAGATTATTTTGGTTTTTCCTATATTATTATTTTAGAGACATATTACTACGTATCTCCTTTGGTTGGTGCCTTTTTCTTGGCTCTGACTCCGATGGGGATTGTCATAGCTGCCAAACACCCAGCTACCAGAACTGTTCTCCATTCAGGATGGGAGCCAGTTATAACTGCCATGGTTATAAGCAGGTAAGTCTCCTTTTCTTGCTTCATCTTGATAGTCAACATCCTGCGTTTCTGTATATCTTATTTAACACTTGATTATACTTAAACATTTAAGGAGCTTCTAGAAAGTGGAGTGTGAATAAACTTTAATCTTCCCAAAACAAGGAAGTTAAGAAGTTAAGTCCCAGGTGGGAAAGAG